GTCTGTCAATCACATATTATCAGCCGTTAAGGATTTCGACAACGATTGTGCAGTATCTTTATTAATTACATCAACGTCCGTTTACTAGCAAACTTTTTTTTTTTTTTTAAAAGGTACATCGGTCCATTAGTAAAAAATGGAAGAGGGAGATATTCGCTAAAAACGACGGATGCAGTCGAAAATGGCTTCATTTGCCTATTTCGTTGTTTATTCAGATATTATTCGTGTTGATCGGAATTTTTTCATTACCATAAACGTGGGGCGAAAAACAAATTTAGAGATATTTGCTTCGAGAGGAGTTTCTCTTGCAAAAATTTATTACGGAGGAGGGGGGGGGAGAGGAAAATTCCTTCTCGTGAAATATGTCGTGAGCACAAAACCTTAAAATGCGAGATCCGCTAATGTAATGTAGACTTCTTCTTTTATCCCCTGTTATGGCTGAATAGAGAGAGATGTTAAGAGATGAGAGCGCGCGAGAAAGAGAGACAGAGAGAGAAAGAGAGAGGCGACGAGCGCTTTGGGAAAGAGAGACAGAGGGAGGGAGGGAGGAGACAGAGAGAGAAGAGAGAGCGGGAGGCGAGATGAGAGAGGCACTAGAGAAAAAAAAGAGAGACAAGCCAATAGTGATGAGGAGAGAAAGCAGACAGAGTGATAGATGAGGTATGACGGAGAGACGAAGATGAGAGGACAGACCAGGACAGACAGACAGACAGACAGACAGAACAGACAGGACAGAGAGAAGGAGAGAGAGAGGAGAGAGATCGAGAAGAGAGAGAGAGAGAGAGAAGAGAGAGCGCGAAGAGAAAGCGAGGAGAGAGAGACATCATAGAGGAGACACCAGAGAGAGAGAGAGAGTAGAGAGAGAGAGAGAGGGAGAGAGAAGAATGAGCGCGAGGGAAAGAGAGACAGAGAGAGCAGAGAAGAGAGGAGAGTGAAGAGAGAAAGAGAGAAAGAGAGAGAGAGAGAAAAAGAGACAGAGAGAGAAAGAAGAGCGCCGGAGAAAGGAGACAAGAAGTGAGAGAGAGAGAGAGAAGAGACAGAAAAGGGAGAGTGAGAGAGAGAGAAGGTGGAGAGAGAGAGAGAGAAGAGGAGAGAGAAGAGGCAGATAGACAGACAGACAGCGGCGAGAGAGAGAGGAGAGAGAAAGACGAGAGAGAGAGAGAGAGAGGAGGAGGAGAGAGAGAGAGGAGATAGAGAGGACGAGAAGAGGGGGAGAGGAACCATAGAGCAGAGAGAGAGACAGAGAGAGGAGAGAGAGAGAGAAAGAGCGCGAGAAGAGCAGACAGAGAGAGAGAGAGAGAGAGCAGAGAGAGAGAGAGAGAGGAGAGAGAGAGAGCGGAGAAGGAATAGAGAGGCCAGAGTGAGAGAGAGAGAGGAAGAGAAGAGACAGAGTAGAGAGAGAGAGAGCAGAAAATACAGACAGAGAGATGAGAGAGACATTGAAAGAGAGAAGCAGAAATAGCACACACACACACACAACAACACACACCCAACACACCACACACATCACACACACACAGAGATGAGAGATGAGAGAGAGGACAGAGACCGAGAGAGAGAGACCGAGAGAGGAGAGAGATGACGAGAGAGCTCAGAGAGAGAGACAGACACAGACAGAGAGAAAGAGAGAGAGAGACAGACAAACAGAGAGAAAGAGCGAGAAGGAGACAGAGAGAGAAAGAGAGAGAGAGCGCGCGAGAGAGAGAGAGACAGACAGAGAAAGAGAGGGGGAAGAGAGGGCGTGCGAGAGAGGAAGAGAGAGCACGCGAGAGAGAGAAAGAGACAGAGGCAAACCGGTAGAGAGAGAGAGACAGAGAGAGAGACAGAGAGAGAGAAAGAGAGAGAGGGAGACAGACACACAGAGAGAAAGAGAGACACAGAGAGAGAGAGACAGACAGAGAGAGACAGACAGACAGAGAGAGAGAGAGACAGACAGAGAGAGACAGACAGACAGAAAGAGAGACAGACAGAGAGAGACAGACACAGAGAGAGAGACACACACACAGACAGAGAGAGAGAGACACAGACAGAGAGAGCGAGAGAGAGACAGACAGACAGAGAGAGAAGAGGAAGAGAGAGCGTGCAAGAGAGGAAGAGAGAGCACGCGGGAGAGAGAGACAGAGGCATACCGGTAGAGAGAGAGAGAGAGAGAGGAGAGAGAGACAGAGAGACGAGAGAGAGAGAGAGAGAGAGACGAGACGAAGAG